TGTGTGCGTCTGTGTCTGTGTCTGCGTCACATACTGGTAAAGTTAAACACTATGTGATAATTTACCTTCAATAAATGTCTTAAACACTATTCTAAATATCTTAAGAGCCATACTATACTGTAGAGAAGAAAAAAACAAAAGAAACATTAAACACACGAAAGATGACACACGCATAGACCCAAAACCAACATTTTCCGGTTGCTACTGGAACATTTAAAACACATTCAATTGTCATTCATTTGTAGACCTAATGAATTAAATACATAATGATAATATAAACAACAATAATAAATAATAATAACTTTTTTACTCTTTTTTAAACGAGGGGTGCAGGCACAGCAGATTCACTCAGTTCCCACCACCTTCCTCTCCCATGCCCACCCACAATGTTTTGTTTTGGGTTTAATTCATTTCATTTAAATTCAAAAAAGGAACCTCCATGAATATTGTTTTTTAAGTTGGACAATTCATTATGCTAACTAGCTTTTTTATTTTTATTTCAATACTAGCCTTCATTAGCTAGCTAGTGATCAACCGTGGAGCACAGACAAAGTGTACAATATACAATGTGGCACCACAATTAGCATTAAGATTGCAAGCTAGCTTAATATAAGCAGTTTGTTTTATTAGCAGTAAATCTTGCTGAAAGGGACACATAAAAAGGGAACTCAATATCCCTGTTAGAATGAATTAAATGGCTGCCCCAGTTTGCTGGCAATACATTGGGAAAGTGTCAAAATCCCATTTAATTAATAATCAACGTGAATGAAATTCATCATTACATCCCATAATAAAATATATAACAAATACAAACTATCCATCAGATTTAATAATGTTTATAAACTTTATAAACCTACCTCAGAACACTATGTTATTTTACTTTCTATCAGTTTACTCCAAGGTTGTTGAATATGGTGTGCCACACCACCAGAAGAGATGTCATAGCCACAGAACCAGCTTTTTTTTTTATTACATGCTAGTTCAGGATAAGCTCAACGTAGATTTTTAGTAATGGAAATACAAGATAAAAATGATGAAGCATTACACTTCACATTCCCCCAATGTGATGCTAAAATCCAAACATGTTGAACACACTTCCCTGCCAATATTGTCACTATGGAACCAGTTTGACCTGAGAGATGAAACTGATTTAATGACCAACTGTTTGAGACATATGAGAAGAAGAAGAAAAAGAATAAGAAGGGATGTCACTATCTCATTGTGAATTATTTACTCATTTGTCTCTAGTTCGTCACTTCTCTTCCTGTCCTTACTCTGTTACTCATTAGGGAGATAGATGGGGGGTTGTCTGAGAGCTTCCCTGCCTTCGGTAGCCCAGATCCTTCTTTTGGTTTCATACAGTGTTTTAGTTTCATCATTCCTAAGACGGAGTAATAATCAGTATGTGTTCATAGTAAATGACAATCTCAGTAGTAGTAGCAGTAGAGTTCCCTCTAAAATACGTTGTTGTTACTGTCATTGAAGTGACAAAAGAACAGAAGAATTCCTTTTTCAGTTAATTCTTTGGTAAATCCTCATTGTCCTAGATGACATGAAATTGTGAGGTCAAATTTTACATTTCTGCAGAAATTGTAGATTTGTGTGAAATTTGCTTTAACATCGTCAATCCCACAGACACTGTATTTTGTGCAGCCAAGCATTGTTCAAACCACAACTTATTTCAAATTCTATTCAAGATCCTAAATATCTATCTATTATCAAGATTCTTAATGAATTGGACTAAATTATGTGAAAATTGTAAAGGGTAAAGTATGCATAAGCCATCTAGAAGTTTCTATTTAATGTAAGTGTGCAGGCATTAAGACATTATTGTAGGGTTAAATGTTTCATCCATCAAGCGTGATATAAAGTCACTCAACCATTGAAACAAGCAGACTGAAAATATGCTGTATACACTGTGAAGAATTTGCTGTTTTATATTTTTGTTCCCCCCTGACATGGACCAATGGTTAGTATTTATTTGAGAAGGGTTTTTTTGATCAAGTTGCAGTGACTTGCAGGAGATAGGTAATCCACCACTAACACCAGGTTTGCTTTTGTTGTTGTTAGAGTTATAGTATATTATCTTTGTGTGGTTATGCAGTTACAATATATGTGCAGAGCCAAGTTCATAGTTCTACACATTGATTTTAATACTGTAAAGATAAATGAAATGGCTGCCTACATAGCCCAAAGATCTAAAATATTGAAATTTCTTGACAGCAATTTAAGCCACAATGTAAGTTGCAGTTAATGAGCTAAAACATGGTCCTATTATCCTTATGGGGAACATTTAGAAGCCTAAACTGTGCCCATCAGCCCCAGATTTAGCAGTTACAGGAGTACAATACAATTTTGTGTTGGTCACTTCTGAAATAATTTAACAATCAACATAAAACAAAACAACAACATGATCATATAAAGACAAGCACGTGTGCAGTTTCACAAATTTTGTTTTACTAGGAATGCAGTTTATAAAAAAACATGAAAAAAAGGTCAAGTAAAACAGTCTGATAGTAAAACCTATCTGTAATATAATGCCACATTGCATATAAAATATTCATCAAAACATATAAAGATTTTTTGTTTACTGTAAAAAATAATTAAAATAAATCTGACAATATATCCATTTGGTCTGTTTGTCCAAACAGTCATCATATAAGGAAGCAACTCAACTACAAAAAAATAAGATTTGAGAACTAAATTGCTTAGAAATATCAAACTTTGTCAGACAAAGCCTTATCCATGATGCTTTGAGTCTTAAAAGATATATAGGAAAAATTGTGAAGGAATTCCCCTAAATGAATTTGTCTGAAAGACTTTGTAACACTTGAGACTTGTGCTCAAGTGTTACACACTCTTGAAATAATAAAGCAGAGGTTAGACACAGAGTTTGCGTTAGCGCTGTACATAAAGACATAAACATTACTGATATACAAAATATTAGGGACATCCTAATATTGAGCTGCAGCTTTAAAGTCTTACTGTAAGAGATTTGCTCCTCCTTATCTTTATGTCTCCATTGTGATTGGTATAAATTTAAAAAGTCGAAACTAACTGTTATATGGTCCCTAATATGTTGTACGTTCAGTCTGGTACAAGCCGAGAAGCTCCTGGCAAGTATGTCACTGCTCATAGTTCAGGCAGTGATGGGCATGTTGTCCCTGTAGCAGGCTGGCCTCTGGGGGCCGCTGTAGCTGCACAAGTCCTGGTAGATGCGGGCCATCTGGTCAGTGGCCCCACTGTCAGGAATCTCCAGGTTTGGGTTGTTGCAGTAGGGCTGGGAGCGCCGCACGTTCACTGCGTCCAACAGGTGCTGGCAGTTCACCACAGTGATCTGACATTAGGAGAGGACACAGAAAGATGATTTAATGTCAGCAAACAGTGATTAGTCTTGTAGGAAGGTATCAATACAATAATTGTATTACAATATCAGTTAACTGTTTGAGTTGGCTGACTGGTCTTACCTGCACAATGATCAGTTTGCTCTTGGCATTACTAAGATCATGGAGCTCCTCTCCAAAACACAGAGTCACTGTCGGATCAGGAGCAGGAAACTGACCCTCCTGGTATAGCTGTAGAGCTGAAACATACAAAGTACGTGAACAGCTGTTTAGACAATCATTGCAATTATCAGTCCTCCTTTTGCTTGCTTTAAGCATTGATACGAAATGTTTGTGTTTTTCATTAATTTTGACTCTTCAAATAACTAAATAATCATGGAGGCTCACCTTGAAGAAACCTTCCTGTGTCAAAAATCTTGACTACAGCATCCCTATCAAGTTTACAAGGCATGGGGCTGTATTGTGAACCCATTTCTCCCTGCCCGCTCCAGAAGACACGGCTCTGGCACAGCCTTTTGATGAAGATTCCCTCTTGGTTGGCACGGACCAGTACACCTCTCTCCAGGTGACCCAGTAGCTTGCGTGTGACATGGCGCTGGCGGTCATACTCAATGAGCTCAGAAGGGGGGAAATGAACACTCTGCATGGTGTCTGAACTGTATAGGGCACCACGGCCCAGTTGCTGTTGTGGGGAGATTCGGCAGCCTTCAGAATGATTAACCACTGTGCTGTGCATGAGCTTCCCTCCATAGTAGAAACTGATCATCATCTGGGAGAAAGCTGGAGAGGAGAACACTTATTAAGCTTTGCAAATGAAAAACAATAAGTGCCAATGTCACATAATGCATATTACTATTAATGCTTGACTATAGGTCTGAATGAATACCTGAGCTGAGAGTGCCTGATGGCAAAGGGTCCTGGTGCAGTGGGAATGCTGTGAAATACAGGAAAACATGAGTTAAGGCCTTTTTTAAGACAGTGGACATGACCACACTGTCATGTCATTATTTTGCTTCATCATCAGAAATTCTCTTAGCACGATCTTACAAAGAAATAATCGCCTTAGTCAGCAAAGTTCAACAGGATGTTAGTCAATTCTTCCATTGCAGAATTCAACAGACAAGCAAAGAACCTCTATCTAGCACCCACAATTGAAGGGATATGCCATTGAGCTTTCCATTGTGGTTACTTCGAAAGGCATTAAAGCTCATATCTCACAAAGATGAGGCAGCTTTACTCAAAAGGTGAGACAAAAAGGCAGAGAACGCCTGCACAGATGTAAAGCCACAACACTGACTAAACTGTGAAGAGCTTTTATTAAAATGAGTAATGCGCTGTAAACTGGGTAGAAAAGGTCGTCTTACCATTGATGCTGCCCTGGGACCAATACTCTGGACTGGCCTGGATACTACAGCCTTCCTCCTGCAAAAAAACAAAACAATTTAATAAGCTGTCATGAAGGAAGCACCTTTGTACACTTTACAGTCATTAAGATCAAGTGGGAGTGTTGTGGAGGAGAAAAAAATGGCACAAAAGCTGAGTGGCAGTAAAGGCAAAGTGCTTCTAAAAACCGGGGGGGGGGGGGTCTCACCTCTTTAATAAGCTCCTCTAATTCAGCAGGGCTGCAGTCCATGTCAGTGATATCACCAGAGCTTGTGGTAGCTGTCAAGGACATCACTGAGGTTTTGCCATCTGAGGGTTGAAGAAGACGACATTATGAATTTGTTAATGGTACAAACATAGTGATTTCTGACCAAACATGCATTGCACTTGAAATTCTAACCATAGTTTATACAGTTTTAAGCATAATATCTGTTAAAGGTCATACATTCTTCAATTGTTTAAATGTTTGCTAACAGACAATAATGAGAAACTTTTTGGGATTTCAAATGAAAATTGACACATAAGCCACAATAACACAAACTCACTTTTCTGCTCTTCCTCAGGTACAATACGGTAGACTTTATAGGGCTCAGAGATGTCCAACTGTGACCTTTCTGTCACCTCCTCAAAGTCAGGGCTTTTATTCAGAGCACAGCGGAGTCTGGTCTTCCATGTTGCAGGCTCAGCCTTGTCCCCTTCCTTGAACTTGCCTTTAAACACAGCCCAGGCCTGCAGAGGGAAATAACCCAAATATTAAAGATGGTATTCTAACAGGTTAAATTTGGACACTTCAAGCGGAAACATGAAACTGATCCACACTTGTAAAGAAAGCTAGAAAGTACATTAATATTAGAATTGTTGTGTGAAAATAACACTGAGGCTTGACTAGACTAGACTATAGCTTTAAAAATAAAAATAAATGTATCAAATTTCGTCCAAATTAAACGTGTGTCATGCCAAAAATAAGGGACAACGGTGACATTTAAAAAGTCTAAATGATCATTTCCATTCGGCCACAAGAGAACCAGACTTGGAAAAGCGCTAGACAGATCCATTAAGATGTAGCCTATTTTCAGTTTTCAAGTCTAATTTATCCGTGTGACTACACCAGAGTGCTGTCAAACCTTGAAAATGGATGCGTCCACTTCTTGGTTGTAATCCTGTTTCCCTGCGTGTTTCCAAGGAATTCGGAACAAAGTGCGGCTTTCATCCTCCCACTGCAGTCCGGAGTACTGCCCGCTCTGGATCTGCTCCATCAGCCACTGCTTCAGCCTGCGACCTCCCGTGTTTGACATCTTGATGGCGTAAAGTTGCTTATGGGTTGTTCACTTGTACCTACACGAGGAAGGATATAAATCATAATCGTAAATAAAATATGATTTAATTGTCTCTAAATTATTATCTATTATCTTTAATCAAGGCAAACAATTCTATATTATGTTTTACAACTTTCACCCCCTTCAGAATAGAAAGTAACAGCACTTACAGTTTCGACAAGCAGTTGAGCTCTTGGCCCAGTGTGATATCCTGAGATGTTGATAGATGGCTCAAAAACAGCTAAGTGAGTTCTTAACTTCTCCCCGAAACATGTCTATCAAGTTTATTGTGCTCCGTATTATGAATGAAACAGCTAGGAGATGATTCGACAGCGCTGCCTCCCTCTGACCAATGAGTGCGTTGTAGTCTCAGTAAGGCCGGCCCATTCCGGAAGTGTTTTTCTTCTAACTGTGGGCATTTACAAGAAATGGCCTGACACAAGCGATGGTTGTCAAGTGGCTGCCCACGCTAAAAGCTACGCAGACGTAAAGCGCAAAATAAACCCGGAGAGTCACAAGTTACCTTGTGCTGTGGGGGATTTCTGCGCTCCAGAAGAAGGTGTTAAGTCCCCCCTACGCCCCCTCACCAGTGGTGAGAAACCTCAAAGAGAAATGGTGCAGGTACAGTAGTCTGCTATGGTGGCGAAGAAGGTTGATTCTACTTGAACAAGTCCTCTGGGAGATATATCTTTGATTAAAATCAAAATCATGTCAGATGAGAAGGTGGGAGGACAATTAGAACAACTGTGTATGGTGAAATAACATCTCAAATTAGGACTAAAAGGGGGATTCACAGTGGACTAAGTAATGACAAAGCCACATTATATTCCTCTTCACCATGTTCATGGTTATATAATAAAACATCATGCTTCCAACTTGGTGAATCTATTGTTTTGAAAGAGCAAGTGCTGTCTATCTGTCATAAAGTCATAATATTCCTGGTCTTGGTCGATTAATCGATTACTCGATCAATAGAAAATTGTGAAGCACTTGCTAAACAAATTCTTTTCACTTGGCTCCATTTACAGTAAGTCTGGTATTATGCTTTCTGTTTGTAAAGTCAATACCACCTCCAGGTCTGTCTGAACATGCCTACCTGACCTGAGTATGTAAATAAACATTCAAGGAAATTACAGAATTCAAAGCCAAAAACTAGAGATACACTTATAGTGGAGTTACTGAAATCCTCCCCTTCCACCCCACAGAAATAAATTCTAAGAAAAGAAGTGTCCATGTATTTCTTGGATTTTATGAAAAGCAACTTCTTTATTGCTAATAAACCTAGAGGAAGTAGAAGTCTTCAGCACAGGGCGAAATTAAAACCACACGACTGATTTTGAATCATGGTTATAATTAAAATGTGTAATGATGTGTTATGATTTCTTTCTTTAAATACTGTTTCAGCTTAAGTTAAACAGTTTGATCTCCGGTTCTTGATTTAATTCTTCTTTTTTTTATATTTTATTGATGGTTATGCTAATGTATAACTTCTCTCGTGTAATGACAATAACAATTCCTTTCTTTGTTCTGATTTCCACTAACATAGTAAGACACAATCAGACCACTAAGCCACTAGAACACAAGACTTTTCCTCCTCAAAGGTGGCCACTAAAATTAACTAAAACTTCATAAACACTAAAACAATACTTCAGATAATAAATCTGTTCTCATTTCATGACTTTCACAGACATACAACTTTCTGGTTGTTTCTTGAAGCTGCTTGTGGTGTAAACCACCTCTACCAGGTGATCTGATGAGTAAAACCCAGAAACCTTTCAAATCCTGAATATGAAATTTAAGAAAATATATTCTGATGTTTAGTCAGTGCGGTTGTCAAGCTTCTTCATGAGACGAGCATTTGATCTAAAGGCGAGCCGTGTACTTCAATGAAACCCATATAGATTCATTTTCATTTTATATTGAAGAACACATATTCACCATTGACTAGTTGCATATTAGTAGCACAATGGCCCTTTAATAGCCATTATAAAACACTTAATAATGGCTTTTTCTGCATGACTTACTACTACTACTACTACTAGGCCATTAACTAACAGTTTTCCCTCAATAAACTCCTAATTAATACCTATTGATAGTAAGTAAGGAAGTTGTTGGCCTCAACAGGTGAGGTGAGGTGGTAGTACCACAAGAATACTCTTAATAAACTACAAGTGTTAATGGTGTCCAAATAACTCTAAATGAAGTCTGAACTATACATTCCTTATTCTAAAATGAGGTCTTGTTCCTAACTAAGCTAGACCTTAAACATAAACTGTGATAATTCAGAAAATGTAATAGATTTCTATTCAAATTAAATACAAGTTTACACTAAACAAAGAATATTAGCTATGAGTAAGACCTCACTTTAGAATGGGGGGCATTTTCTGAGTTAGAAAGACTTAGTTTAGAGTTATTTTGACACTTTTTTGTGTTATGTTACATAAGAATAGACCATATTTATTAAGTGTCATTAAAGGAGAATGAGTTTTCTTGTGGTGCTACCGCCTTATTTAATTCAATTCAGTTTTATTTGTATAGTGCCAAATCATATAAAAGTAATACTTTTTCTAATAGAGCAGGTCTAGACCGTACGTTATTTACAGAGACCAAGCAATTCATCATATGGATTATAAGGCCCATACTGTGCAAATCCTATTAAGATCATAATTAATGTACAACAGTGTCCTTACTTACTATCAATGTAGTAATTTAGGGGTTGTTGAGGGACAACTCTTAGGTAATGGCCTAGTAGTTGTAGATTATGGTCATGCATAATAAGGCATTAATAAGTGCTTTATAAAGACTAATAAAGAGCTAATATGCTACTAATATGCATGCTAATAAGCAACTAGTTAATGGTGAATATGTGTACCTTAATATAAAGTGTTACCTATTTTCTCTACCCCCAATTTATTTTACTTACACACAGACACATACCATGGTGTTGATAGGACATATTTATTAGTTTTTTTGTCAATCACTGCATTTTATTATAAAACACAAGGAAAAAAACACCATAAATACGCAATTAAAACAGTTAACTATACCCATGGATTTATCACACAAATTACTAAAAATCAGCTTTGTCACAATAAAAAGATAAATCAGAGCTTCAGTAAAATCAGGAAGACTTAAGCATTTGGCCTGCAGAGATCCTTCATGTGTAGTTATAGGTTTACTCAGCCATATTTTATGTAGCTTAAAAGGTATTACTTAAAGGAACATTTTGCTATTTTAAAACTTACTCCATATGTTACTACTAGTTGCGTGTCTTTAAATGGCCACAGTATAAATCAGTGTTCTTTACAACTCTGTAGCCGAGTGAAGCCGCCTAGTTTACCAAGAGATCCCACCACTGGCTTATCTCACATAGGCTGATAATGGATTTATTACAGATGGTTTGACTGTTGTACTTTATTTCTGTGTGTGCTTTCCGCCTGATAAGTAAAAACAGTTTTGTTGGCTACCCACCACTGTTACCTGAAAACAAGGTTCTATGTGGATTGTTGTTGCAGATATTGGTACACATAGTGTGCAGACGGCTAGAAATTTTACTCAAAGACGATCAAAATGAAACCAACTATCAAGAAGTACCAACTGGAGTGAAAGAACAGTATTCAACTGGGTGTAAACTAATTCTGTTTACTCCATAGGCAGTGATGTGCAACAGTGATGCATGTATTGTAGTTATAACATCCCCAAGTGGCTAGTATATCTGTTAACGACAGTATGACTATTGTTTTGGTGTTGGTGTTGTGTACTATGAAACATGAAATGTCAATAGTGCTTACACATTTGACAGGTAAGCGGTGGTACTTGTTTTCCATAGGTTGTACATCATAACACATTTTATGCTGTCAGCCCGCCAAGCATGCCATCTTACCCAGCTGCATTATTGATTAAAGAGTTTACCATTAAGAGTCTGGACGGGACTGCAAACCAGTGCATGTCAGAATAAGTGGGCTGAATAATTGGCATCAAATTGGTGGCAGATTTGTCGATTTCATTGCCCATCAGCACAGACTAGACATCCACATAATTTGAGACAAAATGTTCCTTTAAGACGGCATTAATTAGTTGCGTCTTTAAGGCTACCGAGCTGAACATTGCAGGTGTAAAGACTTTACATGGAAGTGTAGTTTATTCATCATGGCTAAGGTGCTGAGGTGTTTAGAGTAAGGCGTCTGTGAGCACCGATACCCCTGTTGTGGCTGTATTCAGGTAAGGGAGCACGGTCAGTACTGATAGTGAAGAAGAGTCTGTAGCCCAATTCTAAATCAACCTCCATTGCTTAAAAATTACAAGACACAAGGTACATACAAATAAAAGTATGAAACATATGCTTTAAGGGGGCCTTTATTTAATCCTATGCTTTTATAGTTGTACAAAGGCCTTAAATTCAGCTTTGGGTTGATTTGGAATTGAGTACAGATTATAACAACTGCCATTTACAGACAGCATTAGGCAGGACTTTGGCATGGACAGAGGTGTTTCAGCTGCTGCCTTCAGGATCATCAGAGCCGGACGGCAGAGCACAGACACCTTGATTTATCCAGCGCTGGTCTGCTCCTCTCCTCTGGCTCTCCTGTTGCTCTGTGTACTGGTTCAGCAGGGCACTCACCTGCTCCTGGTCATTTAACGGGCTGGCACGGAAACTGGACCGTAACCAAGCTCGGTACTGGGGACAAGAGAACAGATTAAAAACCTAATTCAATCATTGTGTTAAGATCAAATTTCATTACATTATTTACTAGTTTACTGACTATACAGTTTATGCATGTATATCTTGGGTCTGACACCCCTGTGGTACCTTATAGAGAGTGCAGTGTATTTAAGCTGTGAGTCATGTCCAATTTGCAATTTGTCTGGAATGTGCAGCTTTGTGAGCATTAATATTGTAGTTTGTTTCCATTTAAATGTTTAATGATGGAATCTGCCATAAAGTCACATATCAAGGCTTGAATTAACCCGATCACACTGGATCTGAGTTGTGTTTTTAGTTCTTAATGGATGAATTCTGAATCATTTTCTTTGATTCAGATCTTTCTTTTTATAAAGTCGCCTGCTTTTCATAGCATCAAGAACCAAAGATGATATCATAGTTGGAACTGAACTTGATTAAGTGGGCCCAATATAAAATGTATGTCATTAAAATTATAATCCATGTATTCAGTAACTTCTCAGTAAGAGGTTGAGGATTGAATGGGCACTTGAGAGACGGAAAGAGGGGGTGGGACAGAAAGTCTATGAAACACTTCTCAGGAACAGCCGCCTCTCCCTAGACATTCCTGCTAACAGTAACCTGAGAGTCAGGAATTCCCCTTTACTCCTTTAAAAACTCTATTTTGGTTAAAAAGAAGAAAAAGTTACAATGTTCCGTGTTTGATCGAACATCAGATTTTAATATGTACATTAACATACCCTAAATCCAGTTGCTTGCCAGCTGTCCCTCATGACAAAATAATCTGACAGGATATATCCTAGGTGCCTGAATGTTGGATATATCCTGTTGGATAGTTGGAAAGTCTGTTGATGATGACATCACAGTGATTTTTTTGTGTTAAAAAAAGCAATAAGCTGTTCTAAGTAAAGTATAACGTCAAATGAAAAAAGTAAACCGTATTGGGGATGGTGACATCATCACACAACAACTAGAAACCTGGCAATACAGTGAATGAAATACTAAAATCTATTGACTGACGTGAAAAATACTCATTTTGGCAGGTACTTTTTCTTTTAAGGTGGTAAAGAATCTAAATGGCTTTATGTGTGAAAGCATTTTGGGTGCCTTTTCAAGTGTTTCAGTTGTGGAGCACAAAAAACCAGAGGGTTTGGGGTGATAACTTCAGGGTTATGGGTCCCACATACATATTTTAGTCCTTTGGTCAGGTCACAGAGACATGTGAAGACCACTTGCAGCTGGTAAGTTGATGGTAGTAGACAGAAATAGCTTTTTGGAGATATATACTATAGCAGTATAATTTGTGTTATTCAGAATATTATTTGAATGTTTACTGTCACTAGAATGCAGTTTGTATTACATGCTGTAGCCTTCCTTTCCAGGAAGGTTCAATGTTAGTTCCACGACAGCAGCTGGTCAAAAAAGCAAGGAATTAACATTTCCGATGATATCCAGAAATCATAAGTCTCTTGGTGCAATACCTTACTCTTTACGAAATACAGTGAAGAAATAAAGTGAAAGTCACTCTATATGTAATACATTCATCTTCCTAAAATTAGTATGCTCACCCTCAACCCAAAAACCAAAACAGTACTTCACTGACTCATAACGTCAACATCAACTGTAAAAATGAATAAAGAATCAAAAGTACAGTATAAAGATAACACATCAATGAGGTGTTGTGCAGGATTCTGATAATTATTGTGTCATCTTGAAATAGAAAATGAAAATTGTACCAAAGTCGAAAGGGGACAGCATTACAACCAGGCTCCTAGAGTGGAATTTGTTCTTTTAGAGCTCAAGTCATAATCTTGGAGTCAAGACAAAAGGTAGATTGAAGGCAGATAGCTGTGGGAAGGCCCAGGTTTATCACCTAGCTGCTTCAGAAAAATGACAGTTGGCAAGGCACGAAACTTTTTGATTCTTTCAAAAGACTGAAAACAACCAAACATATAATTACATGTAACACAACATATGCAATAATAAGCTGCAATAATACGATGTTCCTTATCAGTCTTTTAGCTCTCTGTAAATGGGATTATCAGGCTTCCTTGCCCAATTTCAGTCAATGTGGAAGCCTGTTGTCATACCCCACTCTGGACTATTACAATATGTCTATGGACAATAAAATTTAAAATATTTTTCTTTTGCAGAGGACAGGCATATGATGTGCCCTTCAGTGTATTTACCAGGCCTTGTTATCATGACACTGTGCCAGTAAACAATGTTGATATAACTGCATTAGTGACAAGACTTCACTGATGGCTTAAGGATTCCTCACTTTCTATCTGAGGCAGATGTGGGAAAGGCACAAATACAGAAATTCCATTTCCCCTAAAATCCTCGAAATCAGTGAAAAATCTACAAACAATGAGCAATTTTTTCAGTCATGTTATGTTGCAAGATGCTGACAGTAATGCGAAACACGTGATGAGCAGTACCAAGCTAATGCAATCCCAGCAAACCCCCTGCAGTTCCCCTTCTCTGATCCGCTGGGTCAGTGCCACTGTAATAGAATCACACACTGGGTGCCTTGAGGTAACTAGAATGCTGCAAAAAGTTCACTGCTGTGAACAGCTACCTACCGTGTGTCCACATATAAACACATCCAGCCAAAAGAAAAATGCCGTGGAGATGATTGCTTGAAAAAAATGCAAATAGAAATGTCCTTACTCCCTAAAATGTGGAAATATGATTTATACTCATCAAAGGCTTGAACCTGCAAGTGTGCAGTGCTTACATATTCTCAGGTACATAGCTTGACATTTGCTCTATAAAAAATTCGCCATACCAGATTGGACATGAAATCAGTTAGTTTAAACTAGTATTTCCTATAAGTGGTGATATTCTTAAAAGTGAAAGTAAAAACTATGAGCATTATAGAGAAGGTCTTTGTGTCAGGATCATGGACTATGTACCCTAAAAGGCTCCATCATAACAGAAATCCACTGTACAGATGCCCACAATGTTTTATGTATACTCATATTGGACAGGTGAGTCACAATCCGCATTTAAACAGGACAATGACCTGTAATGTACACACACTGATTTTTGATTTTAATATAAGAATTAATTAATATTGAGAATTGTTTTTCATATCACTTACACAAATAAAGTAAGATTCAGAAATGTATGTTATATTTTACAGACTGAATAATTCTTGTTTTTGTTCATTTTATGCACCGTGCTCCTTTCTCTGTCTGTAGCTGAGAATCTCAGCTCTGCCAGCCGAGTTGATGCTATGCTGTGGTACAAACCATGCCTGTTTATTGGCCTCTACAGAAATAACAAGACACATACAATCATAAAAACATTACACAGAAATAGTCCTGCATGAGACAGTCCACTGTAACTGTCAGGTATATTATGTTCCATGACAAAAAGAGAGCTACAACAGTTGACAAGTTAACCACCGACTGCATGTGCAGCTTGATGGTCGTATGTGTCATATCCTGTGAGTTCCAGTGCACGTCTAAGTGACTTTAAATCACCAACAACAGCACATAACACACAGAAGCATTTATAGAATGCTAAAATACTGTAGAGATGCTGCTAGAAAAATGACTAAAGAATAATTAAATCTGGCATTTTTAAACATCAAAATTTAAAGATTACCACTTAAAATACCTTTTGACTTTAGGCTGGATCACTGAAACTCATAAATGGGGGCTGGGTTGGATGCTGTCTGTAGCTGGGTTGGATGTGTGTGCATTCATTCCTGGGGCGAGCCCATTATGACCATTTAGATACAAATAAATCACTGAGTTCCTTGATGTGTTTACCTCTGAGACTTGTGTCGCCTGGTACTCCTGCAGCTGCTGTTGGAAGCCGTAGTTTGGGCCGACAAAGGAACGAACAGCCTTGACCGCAGACAGACACTCCTCCCAGCTGTAGGGGGTGACAGTCATGAGGTAGGCCACCACCATGGTGGTGCTGCGGGACACACCTGCAAGGCTGCAGCAAAGCAAAGCACACGGCCATTGTCATAAAGCATAAACACTTTATTTCTTGGTAATAGGTCATTTACAGAACCGGTACTGCACAATTTTCAAACTGTACCTTTAGGTACTGTATAGGATAAATGTTAGGTCTAAAACTAAACACTGATTCATTCTTCTTAGTCTTGTTCTTGGTTCTCTCCTTTGAGTCATACCTTGATGAAACCCTACATCCAAAGTAAACACAGCATGACTCCCAGAAGCCAAAAAGGAGCTGGTTACAGGTTTAGCCATAAAAACCTACCAGTGAACGAGACAAGATCCACCATTTAGGCGACATTCATGGATGAAGCTGATGCACTCTTTAAAATGCTGTGATCTGGAAAGAAAAACAATTACACAACAACTCAATATATTACTAACTACTTTCAAAGTCTGGCTAAACAGATATATAAAGCACACATTTTTCTGCAGTATTCAGTAGAAAATATGGAAACAGATGTTTTAGAATCAAGAATAACATTAGTCCTGTTGCTCATCAAATCAGGAAACAAGCTTTATTAAGGTAGAGGGGTATATGGGTTGTAAAGCTAATAATAGGTTAAACGTTATAGGATATGAGAAAGAACACCTTGAACTGAAACTAGGCCCTAACTTTGTGTTTCAGTATGTTGCTGAAACTCTGATAATATAATACTGTTCTGATTTTGACTGAATCTCAAGGTAACTCTCAAATATAGTCAGTTAAGTAGGTCGTTTTGATAGATTTTTGTTAGTTCTAAGTAACAGACACACTGACGAGTAGTGATTTGTCTTTCAACTACTCCAAGTTGTCATATGACAAAAAGGTCAGGTCTGCTCAAACAGAGAGTCTGTGGTAGACCAGAGTACAGACAACAGGGACAGACAAGGGAAGTAACTGTCCTCGTTTTTGTCTATCTGCAAAATTACATCAGCTTCCAGCATTCATTTATTCTGTGTTTTAAAACGATCAAGCAAATTAATTTAACTTTACAACAAAAATACAGCATATAACCTCCAGTCTTATGGCGGACCATTCACGTTCACAAGTTTCTGCCCTCCAAACTACAATGTTACTCAAACGATGTGGAAGACTCTTCTCAAATGTACAAGCCAAGTAGAACTAAGAAACACTAAAACCACAATTCAGTACTATTGTACCCCAACCCTAAAACACAAACAAAAATGAGTAATAGATGCTTATTATACAGGATCACAAATATCCTCAGAATATAAATCTTCTCTGAAATGAAAATAAAGACAAAGCAGCACAATGCAAGTGCACAATGTAGTGCAACTGCTCCTCAAATATCCTTGTTCACTGTCAGGAAACACTGATGGTGTTTTGCATAATCAAGAAGTGCATGGCTGATAGCACCGTCTCCTGAGGAGCCAATGGTGGTTACTCAATAGCAGACAGGATAACAGACTGGGGCTAAAATAGATTGGCTGCCACTTTTCTTTTTTTCCTCCTTCTTGAGATCCAAACTCCTCTTCAAAAGATGTCTCCTCAGCACTTCCTAGCACAGAGGTTTCCGGCCATCTTGTTTAATATGCAGAAATTTACCTTGTGACAAAGATTTGAGGTTTTAACCAGCTGAATCCAGAGAATAATACTGAAACAAAAAATAATCTTATGATCTATCGCATATTTGTAATGCAAAAAGAGCATCTGCAATTCGATGGTATGGTGAAATATAATTACATCGGCACGCATAAGAAATAATTTTCGAAACAAAACATATACCACCTAAGTTATAAACAAAGGATATGCAGATTCCTTGCACAAATGCACATCTCATTTTGGAAACGTTTAATGCAAATAAGTTCACACCTTCATGCTCAGTGCACACTGCGCATTAAAAACATAGCAGGGTTTGTCATGAGAATGTTCACAAAAGAGGGGAATAGCTGGCCCTCAACACCATGTACATGTGTATGATAGCTGCTATATAAATCAACATTTATGGTAATTCCAATTAAATATTTAAGTTAATTCAGAGGGTGCTGACATTACATCACTTTTACAATAACCTTGACGACAATGGTGACTGGCCTTGATGTCCTACTGGTAGCTGACTTTTAATCTGCTGCACACTTGACGTTCATAGAAATGGATGTTTCTGAGACTGTGACCAAGATATGCAACTTTTTTTTGTTTTTTTTTGAATTTTTTTCTTTTACAAGGTGAGTTATGAAGTCTATTGAGACTGTGAATCCCAAGTGCTTTAAGAAAGTATACGTTTTTTGAAACAGCTACAATTGCTCCAAAAAATAAACCAAAGCCTATGTGAGAAAGACGATCTCTCCTTAACATGGGAGGCGTGATCAGACCTGGCCATAAGGGCTCCCTAGCTGGTGGTGAGCATTGTGGGGTGTCAGTTGGCCCCACCGTTCCCGTCAGTCAGACCAGTGATTGTGACAGAGGGGTTTATTAAAGCCCTGGGTGGTCGAGGCCAACAGCCAGATGTCACACGAAGGTTTCCTTCCTCTGCTGCCTGAGGGAAGGACACTTGATTGCGACAGTGGAGGTCAGACACCCCCAACCCAATCAGCAACATTCAACCAAACACAAAACCTCAATTCTTCTTAACTTGCATTTTACCCAGCTCTGTTTTCTGTTTACCCCAGACAACTTCAATGGCTGCCAAACTCAATGTCACAAGTCTTGGATCAAACAAGATTAAAGAGTTAACTCTCCCAATCCAGGTCAAAAAAGTC